GTTCTACGTTCTTGTGTACGTTGACGACTTGGGTTTTGCTACTGCTGACGCTGAGGCTCTGGCCTTGGTGAAGGCGGAGCTGCAAGAGAGACACACTTGTACTGACTTGGATGAGCTGCAGCGCTACCTTGGCTTGCAGATCACTTGGGACGGAGCACGCCGCACCATCACCCTCACTTAGTCACACATAGTGCAGAAGGTCCTTCAGCGCTTCAACTTCACGCGGTCCTCGCCACAGCCCACTTCTCTGTCTACCGGCCACTCGCTCTCAACTCCACTTTCGGACGAGTCTGTAGAGCCGAGTTTACGTACCCATGCATACGACCTGACCTCGCATGTGGGTTACCTCATGTACCTGATGACGTGCATACGACCTGACCTCGCATACCCTCTCAGTCTCCTAGCTTTTTGCGTGGCTCCCGGTAGACATCGAAAGATGCACTGGGATGCTGCAAAGAGGGTATTGTGTTACTTGTGTAGCACATCTGGCATGGGGCTCGTGCTTGGAGGACGGGGTTCAATTGTTCTCACCGGTCACTCAGACGCTTCTTGGGCTGATGACCAGACGACTCACTGGTCGACACAGGGGTACACTTTCAGCTTCGGCACTGGTTCTGTCTCGTGGAGGTCCACTCGCTCTTGAGGCTGAGATCTACAATGGGGCTATGGCTGCACAGGAGCTCCGTTGGCTGACCTACCTGCTGACCGACTTGGGTGAACGGTCTCGTTCTCCTCCAGTTCTGTATGTCGACAACAAGGCCATGATTGCCTTGTGTCAGGACCAAAGAGTGGAGCACAGAACGAAACACATTGCTCTCTGTTACTTCCTCATGCGAGAGCTGAAGCAGCTTGGTCAGCTTCGTCTTACTTACATGGCCACTCGAGCCAGCGCTACTGATGTTTTCACTAAGGTCCTTGGGTTTAGTGATCATCATCGTTTCTATACTACCCTTGGGCTTGTGCCACTCTGTCTCACTTGCTTGTCTCTTGATCTTGCTCTTGTTGTACACTGGTTTATACGCTTATACGTGCTAGGTTGTGATCAGTGTACTGCTCTTTTCTATTGTAAACTGTGCATGTGAACTGGCCTTGTGGTCGCTTCCTTGTGCTCAGAATGCGTGTTGATCTTAAGATCGACCTTGAGCTTTGCTTTGCTTTGCTCTCTTGCTTGACTGGTCTTGTGACCGTTCTTTGTGTTTGCTATCCCCCCCTTTGCCTATGGGAGTGTGTCAAACTTATATTGTTATCTATTGTTGGGCAATAGTGGGGCTAGCCTTATAGGGTACACAACTTTAGGGTTTCCTACTTGTACCACCATTCTCATAGTTCAATCATTCCTCTTTCCATATTCTGATAGGTTAGATTACATTGTTGCATTTACATTAACTGTTGAGAATCACAAAATCCAGGAAAAGGGGGCCTACAGCAGTAGGGGGTCCTGTATTCTAGTTCATGAACCACACAATAGACAACTACATTGAGAATCAGAAAACTATACCAATTTTGTTCCGCAAGGTTACCTATTTCAATATCCTTTCAGCAATGATACATCACTCTACCAGCAGCTCAATTGTCTTGTGTAAATTGTGGATTGGTTCGGAGTTTGATTGAGGAACCAATTCGAGTTTATATATAAATCGTTTTGGTGTGTGTACATCCGTAGTTATTGTGTAATCTACCCTGTGTCCCACAACCCTATACCAGGTTTAAGCCCTAGAGAGTTTTAAAACACGCGACAAGAGGTTTTGTCTGCGAAGAAGTGCCAGCACCCCTAGCCTTGTTATGTATGCCTTGGATCCTAGCACTGCTTGCGCGGGACTGTTGATAAGATGCTCTCCACTAAATATGCAACTGTACATAGATAGCCCGTTGACGTAGAGGGAGAGTTACTTACCTCTCCATCTGGCGCGATCTCGCGACCTTTCTCCAGCCCCCCCAAATCGTACTGCTGACATTCAGGGGGCGTCAATGACGTCGTAAGCAGCAACTGCGTGATCCCATTACGGGACCCAGTTACGGAGGTCGCAGACTGTTCTTCCTCACCAGCCTCCCCTAGGCACAGATCGCCACAGGGGCTTTGCAGCAATATCTATTACGCGATGTTTCATATTTCATGTGCCGATATTTTGCGCCTTTATTTCTGTAGGGACCGCGCGCAACCCTAAGAATGGGTGTTGCTACGCAGACGACCAGTCCGACTTCCGGTTCCACGAGCCATGAATTGTATAGCTCGTTTTAGGCAAGGCTGGGAACCTCAGACCCACATTACTACAGGCATGCTGGGGATATTCAAGCTAAACACGTGGATCATAGTGGTGGCTCCGGGTCCGAAGCCATCACGGTGCCTATATTGCCAGCACCGTCAGTGACGGCGCCACCCCATTGCGAGTACTCGCACGGGGGATCTTTGGCGTCAGCGTGGCACACGGGCCTGTGGGACTGCTTCGGAAACGATTACCCAGCGAACAGCAACGTTTGCGACATCTGTACGTCAATACACAAATTTGTCGCTCCCACCTCGATCCGTCCCTGACAGGTAGGTCTAATATTTTCCTGATCTGTTTCCTTTCCCGCTCGCTTTCACTCCTTGGTTCGATGCTTGATTCTAGTAATTTGCGTACGCTCTTCTCTTCCCATCCCAAGTTGTCTGTGTTTCTTTTGCCTGTGTGTGCTATTCGACATCAACCGGGAAATGCTGACAGGCAACGAGAGCGAGTGCTGTAGATGCTGCTGCGCCTACTTTCTCGTGAATTGTTATGTCCCAGGTGTGGACATTGGGTACTCTCCTGCTACTGCAACATTCTCTCTGCTCGCGTTGTGCACCTCGCTTACACGAACAAAGATCAGAAACAGATACGGCATTCAGGTGCGTGTCTTTTTGGCTTCAGCATGGTTCTTCAACTTAATTTTCTTTAACATTTGTGGTGGCTCTCACAAGGAACAAGTTGTCAAGAAGCTAGAGTAAGCTAGGCTTAGGAGCCATGGCTTGAGTAGCTTAGGAGCTTAGGTTTAGGGTTGAAGGAGAGTAGCGAGAACGAGTTGGCCAAAAGAGAAGGGGTTGCAGCAGTATATATAGGCAAGAGCTAGGGATGCACCAACAACAAAACATGAACCTACAACCAGTTAATGCAAATGACAATTTACATAAAATATATTTTCAACACACCCCCTAAACTGTTCACAACAATAACCAGTGCAGTCAACACCCCCTGAAGGGGTACACCCAAGGCAGAGCGCAGCGAAAGAAGCAGACGGCAAGTGAGGAGGAGGAGGGACCATGAGAGGAGAGGAGGTGGTGGGCGGCAGCTGAAGCTGCTGGCACACAGGCAACTAGAGCAACTGGAACATGGGCAACTGGAATAATTGGCTCTGCGGCTAGACGAGCGGCTGGAGCAACTGACTTACGGACGACAGGAGCAACGGGCACACGGGCGACTGGCGCAACGGTCTCACGGCCGACTGGAGCTGCCGGCTTCACGGCGTCCATCCCCCTTCAACCTCCCCCATTTTCCCAAGACTCCCTTTCACACCCCTTGGCATCCCTACCGCCACTCCCTCGTCTCCCCCACACCCTCCCCCCCCCACAGCGGCATGTGCGGCAGTAGGAGAGAGAGGAGGAGGGGCGGCAGCTGATTACTCACACCCACCACCCCCATACCCTCCCCCCCACTGCTGCAGCGCAACAGGGAGATGGAGGAGAAGGGGGGGCGGGGGGGTGGGGTAGGAGCTACGTGGGCGGGCAAAAACCGTCGCGCGTCCAAGGCGCGCGACGGGCAGAATCTGACGTGCGCAGTTGGCGCGCGAGGCGCAGGAAACCGTCGCGCACTCGGGGCGCGCAACGGGCAGGAAACCTTCGCGCGCCACGAAATCGACGCACGCTCGGGGCGCGCAACGGGCAGAAAATTGGCGCGCGCCCGGGGCGCGCGACGGGCAGCAGAGTGGCGCATTTAGCGGGAGCTAACGGTGGGCCCAAAGGGGAGAGGGCTCGAGGAACGAGCCTGCTCTTAAACCATGTCAAGAAGCTAGAGTAAGTTAGGCTTATGAGCCATGGTTAGAGTAGCTTAGGAACTTAGGTTTAGGGTTGAAGGAGAGTAGCGAGAATGAGTTGGCCAAAAGAGAAGGGGTTGCACTATAGAAACAATAGTACATATAGGCAATAGCTAGGGGTGCGCCACCAACAAAACATGAACCTACACTACAGTTTATGCAAAGGACAGAGAAGAATTGAACGAGAATGAAATGAATATGAACGAAGTGAGTACAAATAGGAAACCCTAATTGGGTTGTACCCCCTATGGGATACCCCACTATAGCCTACACAAATAAGTAAGCTATAATGTTCTCCGCTACTTTCTTGCTCGTGAGCTACAGCAGCGTGGACAGTTGCGACTTGCGTACGTGGCCTCTGAGGCCAACACTGCTGATGTCTTCACCAAGGCACTTGCGCCTTGTGATCATCAGCGCTGCTGCACGCAGCTGGGTCTTGTGCCACTCGACTCTACGGACTCATCCGAAGGCAGAGCTGAGAGCGAGTGGCGAGTAGGCAGAGGAGTGGCCTGAGGCGAGGAGTACGTGTAGCCGAAGCGCTGAAGGACCTGCTGCACCATGTGTGACTGAGTCAGGGTAATGGTGCGGCGTGCTCTGTCCCGGGTAAGGTAGCTGCGCAGTTCACCCAGGTCAGTGCACGTGTGTCTCTTCTGCAGCTCGGACTTCACGTAGGTGAGCCCAGCAGTGTCAGCTGTGGCAAAGACCAAGTCGTCGACGTACACGAGGATGTGGAACGGCGGCAGAGAGGTGTCGGTGCGCAGAAACAGCGACGGGTCGGCAGTAGAAGGAGCAAACCCAAGTGCCGCCAGCGTAGTCCTCAGTGTGTCGTGCCACTCACGTGGCGCCTGGCGGAGACCGTAGACTGGACGCCGGAGACTCCACTGGGTACCAGGAGGGAAAGACCTAGTGAAGCCAGGTGGGCGACGCAGCCAGATCTCCTCGTGCAGGCTGCCCTACAAGAAAGCAGTGCTGAAGTCGAGAGAGTGCCGCTCGTAGTCACGGTGAGCAGCAACGTGCAGCAGTACCCGAAGAGTGGTCATCTTCGGGGTGGGAGAGAAGGTCTGAAAGTAGTCAACTCCCTGCCGCTGACTGAAGCCACGAGCCACGTAACGCGCCTTGAAGACAGGCGGAGAACCCGGCGGCCGCTTCACCCTGAAGATCCACATGCCACTGACTATGTTCGCCCCAGGAGGGGGAACAGTGTCAACGTAGGTGCCTGTGGACCTCCAGGAAGCCATCTCTGCATCCATAGCTGCCTGCCACTGAGAGGAGTAGGGACCCTCTATCGCCTCCGCGTAAGAGCGCGGAGTCGGGATGTCTAGTGCATCCGGGTCTCCCTCAGGGGCGAGCAGTACAGACGCGAGATGAGGTGAAGCGGCGGCCAGACAGTAGAACTCCTCCTGCCTGTCCTCAAAGACGTCCGTGCCAAGGGCACACTCACCCCCGACGGACGGAGGACAGGCAGACTCAGACTCAGCGACAAGACTAGCAGCGTAGTCTAGACGACAACGCGCAGCAATGTCGACGAGCTCAGTGACAAGGGCAGACGCAGCAGAAGACTCGAAAGAAGGGTCAGTAACGGCAGTAGCAAGGAGACGTGTGACAGTAGGACTGGCAGCACGAAGAGAGTCCGACTCCGGGTCGGCAAGAGCAGGAAGAGAGGAAGCAGGAGGAGAAGGCAAAGGGGCACGTAGAGGAGCATTAGACGGACGCAGAGACATCCGGTGCGTGCCAGGGACAGGAGGAGGACGCTGACGCGAACCGCGACCACTAGTGCGCGCAGTACGAACAGGCGACGCAGGACGAGACGCAGGCTCACGACGCTCAGTAAGACCTCCAGTCGGACCAGCGTAGGGAGAAGGAGCAGGCAAAGGGGAGGCAGGCTGTAGCTGTGGCTGTGACTGGACAGGCTGTGGATCCTCTAAGGGAGGAGGAGAAGGACCAGGAGAAGGTGTAAGACCAAGAACCTGCTGCAGGAGGGGAACGAAGTACGGTCTGGGCCGCGAGGTGACGCCAGAAACAGCAGGGACAGCACCAGTACCCCCAGCAGGAGTACCCGCTCCAGTAGCACCTCCAGCAGTACCTCCAGTAGCTCCAGAACCGCCAGTACCACCTCCAGCGGCACCTCCAGTAGCACCTCCAGTAGCTCCAGAACCTCCAGCAGCACTAGGAGCACTGCAAGCTGGACCGCCAGCAGTAGTCTCAGCGCCAACACGCTCAGCAGCACCAGCTCCAGTAGAACACGCAGGCCCAGCAGCTGCAGTACTCCCAGTACGAGCACCCCCGGGACGCGCGGCAGTAGCACCCTTAGCAGCCGAAGAACCTCCAGCACCAGCAGCACGCCTCCAGCGCCGCGCAAACCACTCACGCAGCTCCTGCGGGGAGAGTAGCTCTCGGCGAGACGAAGCACCCGGAGAACCTCCAGGCGAAGCACCTCCAGTCTCAGTACCCCCAGGCTCAGCACCCCCAGGCTCACCACCCCCAGGCTCAGCACCCCCAGGCTCAGCACCCCCAGGCTCAGCACCCCCAGACTCAGCACCCTCAGGGACAGCACCCCCAGTCACAACACCCCTAGGCTCAGCACCCACAGCAGCACCAGAGTCACCAGCGACCTCGACAGGCTCGACCGCGTCTACCTGGGACACACCTGAAGGGGCAGGACCCTGAGGGGGAAGGGGGTCGACCGGGGGGGGACCTGGTACCAAGAAGAGCGGGGGTGGGGGGAGGGATGGAGTGCGGTAGGGGAAGAGGCGGTAGTAGGGTACCGACTCGTCGAACGTGACATCCTGGGAGGACAGAACACGGCGAGAGGTGGGGTGGTAGAACTGCCACCCAGGGGCGTCGGGGGGGAACCCCAGGAAGACGCAGGGAGCAGCGCGAGGGGACAGCTTGTCCGCAGACAAGTCGCGGACAAACGCCCGAGATCCCCAGACCCTGAACGCCGACGCATCGCCAACCTTCCCCGTCCACAGCAGGGCTGGGGAGGTCTCCGGCCTGGAGACCCTGGGGTGGAGGTTGATCTGATGCGCCGCGTACCTGACCGCAAACGGCCACAGAAAATGGGGGGCAGCCGCATGCATCATGGACGTACGAGCGACGTCCATGACCATGCCAATGCGGCGCTCTGCAATCCCATTTTGTTGCGGTGAGTCCGGAAGCGTGAAGGTCTGACGGATCCCTCGCGCACGACAGTAGGCACGTAGAAGGTAAGAGGAGAACTCTCCGCCCCTGTCTGAGTGCAGACGCAACACAGGAAAGTCCGAGCCAAAGCTCTGCCTGAGCTGGAGACGAGCTGCGTGGATCTAGTCGATCAGCACCTCAGTGATATCACCCTTGCTGCGCAAGGGGAAGACTGTGGTGTAACGCGAGTAGTCGTCAACCACCAACAGGAAGTAGCGCTCATGACCGAGTCCACGGACGCGGGCAGGGCCCCACACGTCCATGTGAAGCGTCTGCAACGGAGCCTCTGTCGGAGGAAACTGGGAGGAGTGAGGGGCAGCACGCTGGCGCCCCTCGATACAGGGGACACAGGCAGGGCCAGGGCCCTGAGGAAGGGGAGGGAGGGACCGGGGAAGACCAGACACAAGAAGACGGGAGGCCATGCCTCTGAGCCGAAGCAGAGAGGGGTGACCCAGGCGGTGGTGCCAGAGGAGAGTCTCGTGAGACAGGCGACGACACGAACAGGGGGCAGACTCAGGACCAGACCTGGACGCTGCAGCAAACACCTGACCTGACGAGGGGACCCTACCAGACTCAGGAATTTGAGGAGAAGCAGTGGTCAGTGTGTACAGGCTCGACCCTGGCTGACGTGTAAACGTAGCCAGGTGACGACCTGTGCTAGCCTCTGTGCAGTGCGTCACTCGCTGACGAGCAGGGGTGAACTGGTGGACTCCCGCATCCTGTAGGTCAGCACCACTCACCAAGTTCGTAGAGAACGAGGGGAGGTAGAGACCAGAGAGGGTGCCAGAGGGAGCCGCCGGACACGGGAGGACTGTGGAGAAGCGAGACAGAACAGGACCCCCAGAGGGGTCAGCCAGGGACACCGCAACCGGCCGACTAAGCGGCGTGAGGGTGGTGCGGTCCCGAAAGAAGGAGCGAGACGCTCCTGAGTCAAGGGTGAAGGTGTGGGAGGCCGAAGCCGAAGCAGTACCTGAGAGCGCAGACTCACTAGTACCTGAGAGAGCAGCCTCACCAGTACCTGAGAGCACAGACGCACTGGCACCTAGAGCAGCAGTACCAATGCCCGGGTCGGGCGGGAAACACCGGTAACAGTCACCCTCATCACTAATGGTCACAGCATACATGGCAGCAAGGATAGCATCAAAGTCAAGATCAAAGATAGCTACACCAGCCGTAGACAGCTCTCCCCAGTGGGGGATCTCCGCGGCCTCCGGGAACTGCTGGCGCCAAGCGTCCGTCAAGCGGCCAAAGCAGCGTTGGGCGGTGTGGGTACCCCCACACTGCTCTCCAGCGCGGTCGCCAGTGCGAAGAACGTAGGTGCAGGGACCAAAACCCCCACCACGCTGACGCTGTGTGTACCACTCACGGAGCTGCTGAGGGGTGGGGATGTCGCGAGAACGCTGCTGCTGCTGCTGCTGCTGGCGCTGACCACCCCCAGTGCTGCTCCGCTGCGAAGTGCCACTCCGACCACCCCCACCACCGCCACCCCCGCCTCCGCCTCCACCGCCCCCGCCTCCGCCTCCACCGCCGCCGCCTCCGCCATCTCCGCTCCCACCACCACCGCCGCTGCTACCCCCGCCTCCACTGCCGCCACTAGCACCCCCACCCCCGCCACCCCCTCCACCACCACCCCCACTCCCTCCGCCGCCTCCACCTCCACCGCCACCGCCCCCGCTAGCCCCACCCGCTCCCTTGCCCCCCTTGCCCTTGCCAGAGCGGCGTCTCCCGCTAGGGGCAGACGCCGCACCGACCGAATCAAGACCCACGAGGTCGGCCGCAGCGGCAGAGGCAACAGAGGGCAGGAGAGGGGAAGGAGAACACCCCTCAAAGATGGGGGCGCGGGGGTCACCTCGAGAGGCTCCTACAGCGACTATGCTCTTCTCCGCCGCTAGGAGGGCCTTCTCGAGGCTGTCGACTGTGAGGGTGGTGGGACAGACCGCGAGGAAGTGGTCCCGGACTACACGAAGGGAGTCAGGGAGGCGAGTGACTAAAAAGTAGAGAGTGATGTACATGGGGGGGGGGGGTTCTTGGCGCAGAAGTCAGCAGGAAGCGCAGCGCGGTAGCGAGTGTCACTAGTGCGGAGGTGCATAATGAGATCAGCGACAGTGGGAAAGGCGGCAAGGTCAGGGAAGAGGAAGGGGAGCATGAGGCAGCTCAGTGCAGCAGTGGCAGGGGAGGAGTAGCGCGCAACTACAGCGTCGTACAAGGTCTGGGCACTCTTGTACTGGCTAAAGTGCGCGCGCTCAGTGGTAGGCAGGTGGCGACGCACAGCAAGACGTGCAGCAGCATCGCGCGTGGCCCACTGTGAGCGAACAGTGGCGTCAGCATCAGCAGCAGGGGCAGGGACGGCGCCAGAGGTGAGGTCAAAGAGAGAAAGACCGTCTGCCCTATCGCACTGTAAGAACAGCTGCAGGTCGTCGACCCAGACCTCAAAGTCAATAGCGCGACCCTCAGCGTCAAAAGCTAGGACACTAGGGGTAGCCATGACGACAGACTAGCAGTGCAAGCAGTGCGGGAAGGGGTACGCAGTAGCAGTGGAGCTGTGCTCACCAGACAGGACGGGTCGGGCAGCTCAGCAGCACAGCAACACGGCAACACAGCAGCTCTGCCGGCCCAGTAGCAACAGCAGCCCCACAGGACCAGCAGCTCGGCTCCTCAGGCGGCTCGGGCGGCTCGGGCGGCTCGGGCGGCTCGGGCGGCTCGGGCGCTCGGCGGTACAGGCGGCTCGGGCGGCTCGGGCGGCAAAGGTGGCTCGGGCAGCTCGGCTCCTCAGCTGCGTAGGCGGCTCGGGCGGCTCGGGTGACTCGGGTGGCACGGGCGGCTCGGGCGTCGAAGGGCCGGGACAGCGTGGCGCGAGGGCGGCTGGGAGCGGGACCGGGGTGGGCGGCTCACTGGTGGCTCGGGGCCGGGACGGGTGGTTCACGGGCGGCGCACAGGCGGCGCACGGGCGGTTCACGGGTGGCTCAGGGTTGGGACGGACGGCTCACGGGCGGCTCACGGGCGGCTCACGGGCGGCTCATGGGCGGCTCACGGGCGGCTCACGGGCGGCTCACGGGCGGCTCACGGGCGGCTCACGGGCGGCGCTTCGGGCTGCTTAAGGGCGGCGCACGGGCGGCACGTGGGCGGTTAAGGGCGGCGCGCGGGCGGAGCGTGGGCGGCCTGAGGCGTGGCGGGCGGCGCGCGGGCGGCTAAGGGCGGCGCGCGGACGGCGCGTGGGCGGCCTGGGGCCGGGCGAGCGGTGCGCGGGCTCCTAAAGGCGGCGCGCGGGCTGCTTAGGGCGGCGCGCGGGCTGCTAAGGGCGGCGCGCGGGCTGCTAAGGGCGGCGCGCGGGCTGCACGGGGCCGGGACGGGCGGCGCGCTAGCGTCTAGGGCGGCGCACTGGCGGCGTGAGGCCTGAACGGGCGGCGCGCGGGCGGCTAAGGACCGGTCGACAGAGGTAAGAGAGAGAGAGCCCGGAGCGCGCTCCGGGTAAAAAAAAAAAAAAAAAAAAGTTCGAAGTAGTGGTGGGCCCTAAGCACAGTTCCCACAGGGGAACCTGCTCGATACCATGAGAAGAATTGAACGAGAATGAAATGACTATGAACGAAGTGAGTACAAATAGGAAACCCTAATTGGGTTGTACCCCCTATGGGATACCCCACTATAGCCTACACAAATAAGTAAGCTATAATGTTCTGACAAGGACAGTTTATATAAAATATGTTTTCAACACAACTCAAGGTTCAAGCATCAATCAAACCCCCTTTTATAACATTTCTTCTTCATGTTGATGGCTTTTACAAGGTTTACCCTAAACCCTGCTAAGAAAGTCCTCATTGAGCTGCTCAGGGCAGACGAGTTCTCAGCAAGTGAATTTGATGAATTGTCAAAAGTACCCAACTTGTTGAGAAGGACTCAACTGCGCTTCTCAAAGCACGCCTGAGCAATGGTGCTGTGAAAGTCAATTCCCTTAAAGACGCATACAACCACACAACACATCCCACACCGCTCACATCCCACCCGCACCTGCCTAAGCAGATCCGAGTTGAGTTCTTCGAACCGCGCCCGGGTTATGGTGTTGTAGAAGTCGATCCCCTCATGCCGAGAGTCAATCTCGATGGTCAGTGGAAAGGGGAGGGTTCGGGGAGCAGGAGGAGGAGCAGCAGTAGCAGGACGAAGGTCAGCAAGGCTAGGTAGGTCAGCAGGGTCAACAGGGTCAGCAGGGTCAAGTCAACAGGGTCAGCAGGGTCAAGTCAACAGGGTTAGCAGGGTCAACAGGGTAAGGAGGGTCAACAGAGTCAAGAGGGTCAGCAGGGTCAGAAGAGTCAACAGGGTCAACAGAGTCAGGGACAAGTCCGGACTCTTTATTCGTTTCTCCCTTCTTGCCTGGAGTCCTTGACTATACACAGACGTACTCATAACAAGCAGAGCGTGTCCCTCTGGGCCTCTCCTACAATCACACAGCTCAAGCTTGTGAGCGTCCACTGCCCACCCTTTCCTAACTCGATCTGCCTCTTCCCGAAGCTCAGAGTTTTCCAAGCCATACACTTCACCACTCAGGTCGGGGCTCTGCCGAACCTGAGGCACATGCTCGAAAGGGCCGAACCCGGTTCGGAAAACCGGCTGAGCGCGCGCTCGAACCTAATTTTTTTGCATGTGGATTGGCCTTGCAGAGAATACCCAATTCCATCGATGCCTAAGCTTAAGATTCTCATTCTAGACCTAGCTCTTGTCTCTTGCAAAACATTGGAATGCCTCTCTTCCTTCTCTTCACTATGGTTTCTAAGGTTGTTCAAGATGGGTGTCGAGAAGGGATTGTCCGGAAATATCACCTGCCACCCAAGCTGAGAACCTTGGAGATGCACGAGTCAAAGTTTTTATGCCTGCCTGAGATCTTTGCTTGCTTTAATTGGATCAAAAAGCTGCAGCTGATTGATTGTGAGCAGATGTATCAAGATAGCAAGCAGGAACAATTGCATTGAGTGAATGTGGGTACAAGTACTAACCCTAATATTGGGTTGTACCTGTGAGAGTACGACGACTTATGCCAGCTATGCTTGCTTGCCTCTACTTTATCATGCTATTTCTAGCATAGGATAATCATATGCATGCATGAATTGCTTGATTTCCTAGGCTAGGTGCTTTCCTATATTTTATTATAGTTATAGCACCGATCTAGGTTGCGTGCACCGAATTCTGGCTTTTCGGTTGCCACCGAATTGCCTTCTACCGAATTTGGTAAGGATCTGTTCGGGACGCTTCGTGACCCGCGGAACCTTAGCGTAACACCTGGTTACGGGGCCTTGTGTCGAGCCTATATCTAGCCTCGTGCTGTACCCAGGTGATCATTCAATTCAATTCAATTTGAATCATCTTTTCTGAGCTCGATCCCAGATCCTCACACTTGGTCATCAGAGCGGGTTTACACGCGAGGTCTTCAACCGCTTAGTTCCGGCCTTTAAAAACCGCGGGGGCGACGACGAAAGCGCCGATACGGGTATGTAAAACCAGTTCCGCGCAATTTTTCTAAGTCCCGCTCGATTCGGTTTTCGAACACCCCTCAGATTTACTGGTGGAAAGGTTGGAGTTTCGACCGTTCGATCGAGTTTCATCTCAACGGCCCAGAGAATTTCGCCCAAATAAAGTTGGAATTTGGAGCGTCGGATCGATTTTCTCCTCAACAGCCAAGATCGGACGCGAATTTCGCCTAAGGGAGATTTACGCAACCTACAGAATTCGCGCTCGTCGATTCTACAGTCAGTTTGACTCGCAGTAAGTCGACCAGCACCTAGAATTCGATTATTTTTGTCGCGCATCTTCCTGTAAATCGCCAAATGGAGGGAAAAAAGAGATATTTCAGTACAGAAAATCGCGGAGTTACGTGCTGAGCATAAGCAGATACGTGCAGCGCTCCCACGACTCGAAAAACTCCTTGCGAACCAGTCGGCAACCGCCACAGCAGCAGCGACAACAGTAGCAGCAGCAACAGCGGCTACACCGACAATTCTACATGCGACAACGGCAGCAGCTACAGTTAACCTCGAAGCAGTGAAGCTGAGGCTACCGGAGGCATTCGATCCTACAGTAAAAAGGAACGACGTTCGTCGATTTGTAGCTGAACTCGAAATTTACTTCGAAGCCGTTAGATGCACGACCCCGACAAAAGACGCAATGCGCATACGGCTCGCAGCAACACTGTTACGAGGCCCAGCTCTAGAGTGGATCAACAACAGAATATTCTGTCAGAGGTCCACTGGTGATCCCCGATCGATCCTAGGGGAGGGTTACAGGCATGTTGGCCTGGGGGGTTATGGGCGCACTGACCCGCTACTTAATAAGCCCTTTTATCCCAATGGTCTAGTGGTTGGGATTCTGACATGGTATCAGAGCGGTCTCGGGTTCGAATCCCGGTGTATGCACTTCGGGCATCCCAGTGCGGGGGGGTGTCAGAGGTCCACTGGTGATCCCCGATCGATCCTAGGGGAGGGTTACAGGCATGTTGGCCTGGGGGGTTATGGGCGCACTGACCCGCTACTTAACAAGCCCTTCTATCCCAATGGTCTAGTGACTGGGATTCTGACATGGTGTCAAAGTGGTCTCAAGTTCGAATCCCGGTGTATGCACATGTAGGCCGATGCCGCTGTGCTCAGTCCTGGGCCTCCCAGTGTGAGGGGGTGTCAGTAGATCTGCACTGTGGATGCCCGATTGATCCTACGGGGGGTTACAGGCATGTTTGCCTGGGGGGTTATGGGCGCACTCTGACCCGCTACTTAACAAGCCCTTTTATCCCAATGGTCTAGTGGTTGGGATTCTGACATATTCCAAGGCGAGGGGACGTGGGCGCAGGTTCCGGCAGCACTGATCGAACAGTTCGACACGTTGAACAGTAGCTACTACGGAACACGACGCAACAAGCCAACTAGTGGCATGGGGCGATTGGCACCACCCACGACTGCCGACCCAATGGAGAACGACGAGGGCGATGTGGAGCAGCGGCTAGCAAATAAAGAGACGTGCAAATTTTGCGGCGCTACAGGACATCGTATCTTGGCGTGTTGGAAAATGAAGAGAAGGTTTGGGGAGCTGAATGACAAGAACAGTGCGGCACCCCCGAAGCAGAAAACGGACAACGTGGCAACTTTGGAGAGGGCGAAAAAAGGAGAATATGGTGACGCAATTTTAAAACGTCACGACCAGCCGGCACCAGGGGAAATCGCCGAGACTAATGGAGGATCCGCGAAACAAGACCCTGCACCGACCGGGAAACTCCAGCCGTATACCCCGACAAGTAAGAATATTACTTCTCGTGGGTTTCGAGCCTTTATTAAGGGAGAGTCAGAAATTAAACCGGTACCGGGCATTATGGGGACCCTACTCCAGAGCGCTAATAAGGGTCGAGCGTTCCGAGGAGTTAATATTCTCTCCCAGCAGCACTGTTTAAAGGCTCCTTGTTCCCCACAGATGAAGCCTACACAGCTGCAAAGGCTTAGTGGAAGCTTCCAGGCC